GACTAAGTTCACACAGAGCAAATTTAGAAACACTAAACATTATCACAGCTACCGGGGGTCTTCCTCTTGAGGACCCCTACTCAGAGAAGACAGGGAATGCTTGGTAGGTATGAACCCCACAACAGTGGACAAATACACAAGACAAAGCTGACAGAAATGAGAGCAAAGCAAATAAACCCACTGGTGTTGGAGACCCCCCCCCAGGACAGATGGACAGATTCAGAAGGCAAAGACAGCAGTGAGGACACAGCTGAACCTAATATTACCATCCATCAGCTGGAAAAGATTGACAGCCATATCTTGCTTCATGAAAAAAACCAAGGTTACACATAGCTCAGCTCACAGGGAGTATTCGCCAAGACAAGACTACATTCTGGGCCATAAAACATATCGTAACAAGTTTAAAAGAATCAAAGTCACATAATGTCTGTTCTTAGAGTGGAATTAGAAATTAGTTGCATAAACTGATGACATGACCACCCCATGGTGGTCAAGGGGAATGAATGTTTTATTGTAGATATGAGAGAGAGAACAGCCAGAGGCATCTGGAAGATTTCATAGCGGAGAAAGAAGTAGACTACACACGGCCAGCAGACTGGCTAGGGATATCTGCAAGAGTGGGGCTGAAGAGCGAAGGATAGAGAATGGAGAAAAGACAGTGAGAGAAGCAGGAGCAGAGTAAGGGAGGCAGAGAAGGAGAGAGGGAGAGACAGACAGAGACAGAGAGAGAATATGAATGAACATAAAATAGCAGGGCTATAAGGGGAATGAGTAGCTGGGGGAGGAGGCCTGAGAGCTGGAGGGAGTTTAGGGTAGGGGAGGAGTTAAGAAGGACTAGGATGCTAACATGGAATTTGGAATGTGTAACAGGTACTTGTGATACTGAAGGAGCCTGGAAGCCAGCCAGTGTAAGCTCTGGCGTGCTAACAGGCACAGGTAGTCATTTGTTCTTTCTTCTGGTGACAAGGGAAATGACTTTCAGTAGAGGGGAACCAGCTTTGCAAGTTCCTGAGGGATGGCGGCTCTATCTAAGCACCAGAGGTCCTCCTGCAGTCCAGGTTGAGCCCATTTCTTGATACCTGGACTGCCTTTTGGAGTCTGGGGAATCAGCGTCTCATTTGGACCTGACATTAATAACGATGTACCTGCAGTAACTTGCTTTTCTGTTGTGGAGTTGAAACGCTGACCAAAACCAACCTGGGAAGGAAAGGATTTATTTTGCTTACATTTCGGCATCGCAGCCCTTAGTCAAGGATGGAAATCAGGGCAAGAGACTAAAGCAGCAAGAGGCAGCAAAAGAATGCTGCTTACTGGCTTTATCTCCAGGGGTTGCTTAGCCTGCCTTCTTATATAACTAAGGTCCACCTGTCCAGGGATGGCACCACCCACTGTGGGCTGGGCCCTTCCACATCAACCATTAATCAAGAAAATGTCTCATAAACATACCCACAGGCCAATGTGATAAAGACATTTTCTCCACTCAGGGTTCATCTTCCCAGGTTTGTCTATGTCTGTGTCAAGTGGACTAAGCTAACCAGCACAGAGGTGCTGTAGCTCGGTTGGTAATCTGCTCACCTAGCATGAAGGAGACCATGGGTTCCAGGCCACAGCAGGAGGAAAGAGATGGAGAGGAGGGGGTGGAATAAATCAATAACAAAAGGAGTTGGAAATTACAAAATATTTGAGGTATTCAATAGCAGACTTCCAAATAGTACAAGAGTATTCAATAGCAGACTTCCAAATAGTACAAGAGTCAGAGAAGGAATAACATGATAATTTTAAAAATACATAACAACCTGAAAATATAACTTATCAGGATATGTGGGGTGAAGCAAAAGCAGGTGAAGGAAATTTACAGAATTAGAAGAGAAGGAAGACCAGGGTGAGATGGCTCAGCTGGTAAAGTGCTTGACTCGCAAGCATGAAGACCTGAGTTCGGATCCCCAGTACCCCACGCAAAAGCTGGACATGGCAGTGTAGATCCATAACTACTCACCGTGGGGACTGAGGCTCACAAGCCAGCCAGTCCAGTCAGCTGGTGAGCTCCAGGTTCAACGGGAGACACAGTCTCAAAAACCGAAGATACCCAATACTGACTTCTGGCCAACACTGATCACATGCACACGCACGCATGCTGGCTCTCGCAAACACACACTCGTAAACTTGTCATTCATAGGCAGCCTATAATCTCAGCACTTAGTCAAGGCTAGCCTGAACTCTGTAAAGAGATCTGCATTAAGAAAAAAAGGAAGACAAGACAAGAAGAAGGAGCTAAATAACCGCCTAAACACCCATCTTAGAAAACTGGAAAAGGAAATTAAACATAGTGTAAATATAAGAAAATAACTAATGGCAATTAGATCAGAATCAGGGACAAGGAATAAAGGCAACCGATAGAGAAAGTTGACTGGACAAAGGCTCGTTTGCTCATTCTTTGAAAGAGATCAGTTTTACCAGTAACTGCTGTCCAGGATAATTAGAAAAGAGAGAAAAATATCAATATCAGAAATGAAAAAGAGAACACCACCACATATGCAATGGTATTAAGAAGACAGAGAAATTGTGAGCTCTTTGTCCACTGATGTATATAGATTAAAATACACCAAGAAGCAGACAATATGCTGATAGGATCTCTTGAAGCAATTCAGTCAATAAGTGGTAACATGAAGCTCCAAGTTCAGGGGGCTTATTGGTGTTTATAGAAGAAATTATACCAATTCTTTACAATCCCTTTCACAGACAGAAACAGAAGGTGTGTGCTTCTTAGCTCATCTGAGGAGGATATCAGCCTAAAACCTATCCAGACAAAAATAATTAAAGTGTGACTAATACCCTCATGAACACAAAAGGAAAATTCACCAATAAATATTATCAAATATCACTCAACAATGTATAAAAAGAATTATACATGGGAACCAAATGAAATAACCTGGGTATATAAGGCAGGTTCACCTCTTGAAAATCATTTAATGTAATCCATCACGTCAATAGGATAGTGAAGGAAATCACATTATCATATCAGTAGAGGAAAAACATCTGACAAAATCTAATGCTCATTCATGTAGAAGAAAATATTCCATCCATCAACTGTGACCAGGGAGGACTTTCTCAACTTCAAAAGGGACAGTTGCAGAAAACTTGGCAACTGGCATAACAGTTAGTGGTGAGAAACTCAAAACTTTTAAGATTTTCCTTTTTAGCACCATGCTTAGAGCCCTATCTAACGTTGTAATACAAGAAAAGTTTCTTTGCTCACAGACAGCATCATTGTCGTGTAGAAAATCCAAAAGAACAGACTTCTGGAACAAGGAAGTAGCGACAGGACTTAGGTCTAAACTGAACAAAGCAAGTAGACAATCCACAACACTCTGGTAAGAAACAGCAAAGGGCTAGATGAAGAGACCCTGTACTGGTTCTACTGTGGAGATGGCGCCAGTGCTGCTTAGCCCTGAGGAGAGACCCAGTGCCTCGATCACACAGTGGATGGCATCATGGTGGGAACACATGTAAAAGAAGACCATGATAAATGAAGCTGGCAGACAGTGGGGACAGGCTTGCTCTCTGGTATTCCCTCCACATGCCACCAATCCTTTCTGATGGAGTGCCCCCAATAGCCATGTCCTCTCCAATGACTGACCATGTCCCCACCAATGACCATGACATTATGTCCCACCTCCTAGAAGGTTCTATCACTTCCTATATCACAGCATGAACCATACCCAAACTACAGCAGAGATATATTCCATATTCCAGGACAAGAGGAGTCAACATTGTCAAGGTGTCAGCTTCTCACAACTTTATCAATAGAGTCAATGCAGCTCAGTCAAGATGCCAGCAAGTTATTTGGTAGATACTGAGAAATCGAATGATACTGAAACAAAGAGGCGGAAAAACTCTAGATATCTTTAATAATTACTAGAGGCTGGGGGTGCAGTTCAGAAGTGGAGTGCCTGCCTAGCATTTAGGAGGCTCCTATTTCAATGCCTACCCCACCCCAAGAGTGAAGTAAGAGGGCAGAGGGAGGGAGGAAGGGGGGAGAGAGAGCTTGTGTGACTTATAACACAGAATAATCAAGACCATGTAAAATTTGAAAGATAAATATAGAGACATAAATAAATGAGATCAATAGCAGAATACAGAATCCCAGAAGTAATCCTACATAAATATCAACAGATGTTTGTCAAGGAGCAAAGGGCATTAAGATGGTGTAAAGATAATCTTTCCAACAAATGGTGCTAGAACAACTGTACATTCAGATGTGGAAAATAATCCAGACACAGATCTTATACCAGTCACAAAAATGAACTAAAGGCAACCACAGTCTTAGATGTAAAATTGTAACTATGAAATCTGCTAGATTAACATAACATAGAAGAAAATGCAGACAGCTATAGGTACGGTGACGACTGTGCAAAACACACCACCAAAGCCACAGCTTATGAAAGAAATAATAACTGATGAGCTGGGTTTCATTAAAATTAAAAATTTTAGCCAGACATGGTGGTACATGTCTGTAATTTTAACACATGGAGGTCTGGGCAGGAGGGTCATGAATTCAAAGCCTGTACTACAGAAAGACCTTTTAAAATGTAAGGCTTTTGCTACATGAAAGACTGTGTTTAGCAAAATGAAAAGACAATGAGAAAATACTCCCAAAAGGAACATGTGAGAAGGGATTGTTACCAAAAATATACAGAGAATGCTCAGAACTCAGCGGTAAGAACCCATGTAACCCAACGGAAACAGACGAGGGCGGGCGAGGCAACCCTCTTTCTAGTAATCCACGTAAGAAGGCAGAGGAAGAAGAAAATTGCTTGAGCTCAGGGGTTCCAGGACAGACTAGACATCACAGCGTGACCCCCACAAACCTAACACAGGATACCTCACATTTGACGTTCAGGACGCATCAGGGAGAAGGGCGTATAACCGATGCATTGCAGGCCACTCTGCTCTGCATAACAAAATGCCACGGACTGAATAATTTTAACAAACATAACATGGTGCTCGCTTCAGCAGCACATATACTAAAAATTGGAACAATACAGAGAGGATTAGCCTGGCTTCTGCGCAAGGGTGGCAGGCAAATTTGTGAAGTGTTCCATGTATTTAATGGCAAAAAAAAAAACAACAGAAAATTATTTCTCACAGCTTTAAAGGTCAGGGAAGCCAAGGTCCAAGGCAGGTTTATTGTCTGGTGAGGGTCCAATATCTGACTCCAGGGTACACTGAATGCCAGTGGAAGAAGAGAGCAGGGGCACAGTCCCTCTCAGGAGCCCTTTTACAAGGGTTCCTAATCCCACTTAGGAAAGCCCAGCCTTCATGACCTCATCGTTTCCAAAAGCCAACTCCCCACCTAATAAATGCTGCTGCATTAGCATAAAATTTCAATAACACATAAATATTCACATCACAGCAGCCAGCAAATAAGCCTACAAAAGGGCAGTCAACATCATACATCATCAGAAAATTGCAAATGAAAAACAACAGTACACCATGACACACTTATTATGGTAGCCCAAATCCCAAACACCAGTAACATCGAATCTGGCAAGGATGTAGACCACCCAAAACCATCACCTGCTGCTGGTGAAAATGCAGCTAATCTGAAAAACAGCTTTGCTGAACATTCTTTTTGCCTATGAGCCAGTAACCATACTTTTTGGTACATACCCAAATGACTGGAAAACCAGCCACAATTACCTTGAATGTGAATGTTTATAGCAGTTCCATTTATAATTATCAAGACATGGAAGCAGCTAAGAAAGCCTTCCTAGTAAGTGGATAAATAAATTGTAGGTACAACTAGAATGAGAGTAACTGTGGAGCAAACCACAAAAAGACACGGAGCCAACTGGAAGACCTATAGACTGTATGATAGTAACTATCCAACAGTCTATAAAATGCGAACCTGTAGAGATCTACAGAGACCTTCTAAAAAGATCAGTGAACTGTCAGTGTGCAGGAGTCAGGAAAGATGAGGCAGGGACAGCGGATCTTCAGGACAGTGAAGCCGCTGGGTATGATTTTTCCATAGCAGCGGATTCCTGCCACCCCTCACTGACCCACAGATGTACAACTCTAGGACTGACCACGAGCACTGCAGACACGGGGGCGGCAATGGCGTGGCAGCGTAGCTTCACGGACGGCAGCAAACGCGCACTGCGGCACAGGAAGCTGGCAGGGTGCATGCTGCCTGTTTTTCCACTGCTGTGACAAAATGTTTGACAAAGGCAACTTAGGAAAGGAAGGATTTATGCTGGCTTATGGAGTGAGGAGAGTCCATCATGGCAGGGAAGACACGGCTACCGCCAATACCGAGTGGGTTTTCCCTCCTCCGCTAAGCTCTCAGGACATACCTTAACATACGCGCCAAGAGTTCAAAGTGACTCTGAATCCCTTCAAGATGATAAGAGAGATTAAACGGGTGGTAACATGAGAACTCTCTGGAGCTTTTTGTTACAGGTTTTTAGGTTTTTTTTTCTTTGTTTTTGTTGTTGTTTACTCAGTTTTGCTGAGAAAATAAATGCTAATACGCCAATGATGATTATCCCCCAGAAGCCCGAGTGTTGAAAGTTTGGTCACACCCAGGTGGTGCTTTTGGGAAACAGAACTTCTAGAAGGTGGGACCTAGGGAGTGGTCTTTGGCCTACTCCACAAGATGGAATCTATGTCTTGTATCAATAACTGAGCCAAAACTTGTAGCTGGCTAGGACACAGGTCCTGAGGGAAAATCTAGTACTATAACTGCTAAATGGACACATTAATAAACTGCCCCCCTAAGTTCTCATCTCTTACCCACAGATTAGTGTATATCTCAACCCTCATCAGGAAAGCTTCTTTTTGCAGTAGATGGTGACTAATACAGAGACCCATAAGGAGTGAGCATGCAGAGAATAATCAACCCTCATCAGGGAAGCTTCTTTTTGCAGTAGATGGTGATTAATACAGAGACCCATAAGGAGTAGGCATGCAGAGAATAATAGTGTGGAACACACAGCTCTAAATGAGACGCTATAGCATGTTCCCTCTACATGGGGCTCCAAAACCATAATAGAAAGGGGGGCAGAAAGACTGTCAGAGCCAGGGGAGCAGATGCCTGCAGGAAAACAGTATTTGCTGGACAGGTGAGTACATGCAGTTGTGTATGTTGTGTGGTTACAGTCACGTGCACAAGTCTGTCACATGATCAAGCCCGACAAAATCCCACCATGGATGGGGGAAGCGGCTTGTGAAGTCCCATCCTTATGAGGAGATTTTGGCACTTGGCTGCTGGAAGAATGGTGATGTGTTTTCTATGGGGTAACTGATGCTCCAGTAGATGTCCAACACCCATGCACATTCAGGTAGCACTGAATGGATTCTGTGAGCATGGGGGCCAGGGACTGTCTATGAAAACAAATAGCTTGTATATTTGCATGAAATTATCAAAGAGTATATAAAACCAAATTTAAAAATAAGAAAATATTAGACATGACCATGTATATAAAAATGCTTTTTTGGTATGAAGGACAACCTGCTAAAGGAATGCTATAATATGTCAGTCACAGCCAGAAGATGCCACTGCACAAAATGACGTTCTTCCCTTGGACAGCTGGACCTGTAATTGCCCCTCTCCCTACGGTCATCACAAGTTAAACAAAGATATCTTCAAAAGGAATAACAGTGTGCTTTCATAACACAATGTTTTGTAAGTTTAAAAGTACTTTTAAACTTTGACTGGCAAACTAGCATGACTAGTTTTAGCTGTTTGAACGAGTCCTCTGTACCTGTTAGGGGCTTGGGTAGCAGCTGCAGAGTGCTGTCTAGTCCCAGTTCTAGAAGACAAACCTTTAGGGAATGGCTACCCCCGACTTTCAGCGTGTGTGTGTGTGTGTGTGTGTGTGTGTGTGTGTGCGCGCGCTATTTTTGTTTTCCGAGGTATCACTCTTGTTTAAAATTAGAATGTATGGTGTGAAGAGGCTGGCAACTCACCAAGTCAATTATGAAAAGTGTAAAACACAAAAGCAAAGGTGCAGACATGCTCAAGAATGCGTATGATGTTTTTATTTCCACTACCACTTGGTCTCTCCAGCAAGTGCTTATTGTATGTGTGTGTGCTCCAAGAAAGCTTTATTCATGAAATGAATGACAAGAATAGAGTTGGCACATTTGGTAGATTATAAATGCAGGATTTTTGGCTACATTTACATTTTAGATAAACAACGAATATTTTTTAAAACTTTTTATTGAGGTATATATAATTCAGATGCCACTAAATAATACACTCTTGAAGTACAGACTATGGTGGTTTTCAGAGCAACTCTGAGCCCATCTTCACGAGCAGTCCTGCGACAACACTGCTCTGCTGTCTGGCTATGAAACTGTCTACCGCGGACATTCCTATACACGGTGTGAGGTAGATTACACTGGAAGCTGTCACGTGCTGTTAGAGCTCACTGAGAAGCTGGCTCCCCATGTGTGGTCCTCTCCCCGTCTGTGCTTTTCAGACCAAGCATACTTGTCTCAAAGTGTCCTCCAAGGCAGGTGAGGGTAGTGGGAGAGAACAGCAAAACAGCCCTGGAGTGAAAACACCGTGTCCTGAGAACAGCTAGAAGGAACAGCTTCTCCAACGGGTGTTACTGTTGTTATTCCCATGATAGGAAAATGCCTGCCGTGGGAAGGAGTCTGGCCAGGTAAACTCATCCTGGAGAGAAAGCTCACTTGGGAATTTCAGCCGACTGCCTCTGCGCCCCAGTTGGTTTCTGAGGAAGCTTTAAAGCCCTCAGTTTGGTGGTGTTGTTAAGTCTGCTGTTGTTTGTTCCTTTACTTGGAAGCACCACACAAAGAGACACTGTTTTACCTGGGACCCTATCAGGACCTCTCGCTGACTGCCTGCCTGCCTCTGTGGGGCTTCCCCAGGGCATTTCTGCCGCATGTTCTGAGCACACGATTAGATGATTTTTATTCCATCATCTATCTATCTCTTGCTAGTCATTATCTTACTCTGGATTGCTATATACCTAATAAACTCACTCATTCAAAAAATCAAAGTATGGTTGTCATAGATCATTCTCAGAATTATAGAGGAAAAAAATGGAAACCATGTGTCATGTGGCTCTATCTTTTTGTTTTTTTGGTTTTTTTAGCCCCTCCCCCCCAACTGACCATATTTTCACAGCTCATTAATAATATAGCATGTATTAATACTTTGTTCTTGAAAAGTGTGTGTGTGTGTGTGTGTGTGTGTGTGTGTGTGTGTGTGTGTGTGTAGGTGCCCACAGATGACAGAGGTATTGGATTTGCCTGGAACTGAAGTTACAGATGGTTGTGATCCACTGTACATGGGGGCAGGGAACCCAACTCGGAGGTCCTCTAAGAGCAGCAAGGACTCTTAACTGCTGAGCCCTCTCTCTAACCAAAGCACTCCATCCTTTTTATGGTTGAATAATATTCCCCTGTGTGGGTATACTATACTTTGCCCATGCCTTCTTCAGTTGATAAATATGTGGGCTGTTATAAATAATGATGTTATGAATATTCATGCACAAGGTTTACACAGACAAATCCTTTCTTGGCTCTTGGATGCGTATCTAGGAGTGGAAGCTGTGGGCGACTTAGCAACTCTGCGCTTAACTCTCTGAAGCCCCGAGGCAGCTGCACCGTTTTGTCTTCCCACCAGCAATGCATTGGGATTCCAATTTGTCCACCTTCTTGTCAGCACTTGTTATTGCCAGTCTTTTACACGCAGCCCTCCTGCTGCGTGTGGGTGAGGAAAGGATGCTGAGCGCACCTCTGAGGGAAGAAGTCACATGCCCATCTGAAGGCCCAACCAGGCCTTGGTGTGTCGATCCTGCATCCTCACTGTCACCCTTGGGCAGCTCCTGAAGGAGGAGTGAGCTTACTACACACTGGGCTGCTCACTGCAGGGTCTCTGATTAACAGCAGAAAGGATTTTAACACCTTGGAAAAATAGTGAAAACTCAAAGAGAACTGGGGATGGAGAGGACAAAAGAGGAATTAGCATAATAAATGCTTTATATGCAGTGCAACCTTGGAAGACATTCTTGCAGGTGTCACTCTTCCAGGGACTGCATTCTCCGCATGTGAGGCGCGTCCCGTGGAAGGATGA